GTGGGCAGTGGCCGGGAGCCTTGGGTGCCTTGAGGGTCCAGGCCTTGTGGAGGGGGTGGAGCCTGGAGAGACGGGTAGACCCCGCTCACGCCCAGGCAGCCTTGGGCAGTGGGCCTGGAGGAGCAAATGGGACCTAGGCTCTGAGCTGCGGTCCTGCGCCCCTCTGCCGAGCGGCCCCCAGCACCCAGGTCAGCATCCCACGTCCCAGGAGCTAAGGCTCAGACGGGGGCTGTCAGGAGGGCCTGGCTGGAGGGTCCCCCGGCCCCTGCTGGGCTCCATTCTGTCGGGTTGGGCTGTGCAGCGCCCGCAGGCAGGCGTGCTGGGTGAGGTGGCGCCTGCCTGGCCTTGGCCCTGGCCGGACCCCAGGCTCACAGTCCCCGGCTCACAGACGAGCCACCCGGCGTCGCGCTAGGAGGTGCAGGGTCGGGATCGGGCCAGGATTCGGTCACAGCCCATTTGTTGTCACGCTCTGGTTGCTTGCTCCAGGTGATGGGGGTGAGGACCATGGGGATCACAGCTCCGGGACAGAGTCCCCCCAGAGGTTCAGGAAGTATAGCTACTTGGAGAATGGGTACAGTGGGGTTCTTTCTGGAGATGGGGTTGAAGCCAGGTAGTGCGTGGGGTGCAGGAGCCAAGAGCACTAGCTGGCTGTGTTGGACGGGGGGGACACAGCAGCACAGCTGAGAAGAGGCCGCCAGGCTCAGTGGGCAGGGAGAGACCTCAGCCCCTAGGGTTTCTTAAGGGGCCGAGATGGCAGGGCGGTCACAGCCTGGGGTGGCTGGGGAGGAGGTTTGTCTGTACCCTGGGCTGGGCCTGCAGTGTGACACTGTGACTGCCTGTGCTGTCCAAACCTTGGCTTCCTCAGACACTGGCCCTGCAGGCGGGGCGTGGGGAGCCGGTGGGGGTGGGGGTGGGGCTGCTCTGCAGGGGTCTTAGGTCCCTCCCTCAAGGCTTCTGTGGTGGAGGGTGCCGAGAGTGCGTGCATGGCACCCACAGCCTTTTCCACTCACAGGTGTGTCAGCCTCGTCCTTCCTGCACTGCTTCACACAGGCCAGTGCTGCCTTCAACCTGCAGGTGGCCACCCCGGGGGTGAGTGCTGGAGCCCTGCTGTCTCGCCCTCACGGGCACTGTGACTCCATGTGGGTCTGTGGTCCCCACATTCTGGCTTGACCCTGCCTGTGAGGGACAACCTTTTGCAGCAGTCGGCACCTGTTTATGGTGACCTTTGGTGACACGATGACCCTGGCGGTGGGGACTTAGCCTGGGGAGACCCGCTTCTCAGTGCTGTGAGGGCCCCCTGTGGCATCCCCACCTGGCCTGGACTCTGCCCTTAGGGGAAGACCATGGACTTCGTGGACGTGGACGAGAGCAGTGCCCGCTGGGTCCAGGACTTCCGCCTCAGGTCCTACGCCAACCCCGCCAAACTTGAGTCCATTGACGGTGAGTCCCCTGTGGACGGGTGGGGCCCAGGCGGGCTGGGGCCCTCACAGTGTGCCCTTGGCCCTGCTCCTAGTGTCACACCCACGCTCTCTTGCACCCCTCAGTCCATGGCTTCCTACCCTGTGGTCCCAACATTCTTGAACCTCTGTTCTTGGGAGAGGGCTGGGTGGTCCCCACAGTGCCAGCCCTGTGTTTGTTCCTCAGGGGCCCGGTACCATGCCCTCCTCGTGCCTAGCTGCCCTGGGGCACTGGCTGACCTGGCCAACAGTGGGTCCCTGGCCCGAATCTTGCAGCACTTCCGCTCTGAGGGCAGTAAGTGACCCCTGGGACTTGGGTGAGGATTGGGGTGTTCTGTGGTTAGGGTAGTTGTCGTGAGGCCTGGGCCCGAGTTTGTGAACTGGAAACGCTGGGTCATTTTACGAGGGGAAGGCGTGTGTCCCCCGGGAGTGGGTGAGTCACCTCTGCGTGAGCAAGTGGCCCCCTAGCCCTGTGTACTTTCGCTCGAGCCTGGTCCCCATGGCCTGGGATGTGCCCCTGTTGTTAGCTGGCTTGGTCCCTGTGGGAAGAGTGTAGCCGTGGTTCGGGCCGGCTGCGAGGTCTGAGGGGCTGAGGAGGCCACTCTGTGGGGATTTGGTTGTAATGGCATGTCTCCTGGCCCTGAGCTGGGTGCTCACAGCAGGACTTTTGTCCCAGGGACGGTGCCTCCTGCACAGCAGAACAGGCTGCCATTGTTCTGGCCCTTGGCCTTAGCCGTGGGAATGCACTGTTAGAGGTGGTGTTGTGGGAGGAAGCCAAGGGCCGGGTGGCCCTAGTGCAGGCAGGCAGGGCCTTGGGGGGCTTGCTGGAGGCTCTGGGTTGAGGCACGTGGCTGGCGTGCTTCCCCCCAGGTGATCATTCTTCACAACCCCCACCTCAGTGGGGTCTGTGCAGTGATAGCCCGTCACTCGCCGTGGCAGCAAGGCCAGGTCGGCTTTGAGGGCATTAGTGCTCCTGGGCAGGGGTGACCCTCGTGACTCCCTGGGACGTGTTTTCAAGTCACTGACATTTAAGTAGATTTCAGTCTGAACTAGAATCTGGTCCTGCAGGGTGCGCCCAGCAGGCCGGGAGGGGCCATGGGCCTGGGGGTCTGCTGGCCTGGAGCAGGGGCGCTCTGGGCCGAACTTGTGGAGGGGGCAGTAGGCCTTCTCGGGGAGGGAAGGTGGTACGGTAGGGGTGTGGAGGGTGGCATGTGGGGTACCCGAGAGTAGCTAGTGGGTCCTACTTTCAGAGCCCATCTGTGCTGTGGGCCACGGCGTGGCCGCCCTGTGCTGTGCCACAAGCGAGGATGGCTCCTGGGTGTTCCAGGGCTACAGCATGACAGGGGTGAGTGCTGCCCCCAAAAGCTGCTTTCGTCCCTGCAGACAGACGGGCAGGTCTCAGTTGTGCATGCGCGAGTACAGGGCACCTGGCCGCCCTGGGCGGGTGGTGGGTGATGGTCTCTGAGGATGTCCCCATCGTGGCTGGCTCTGTCACCCTCTCTGTCCTTGCTGGAGCTTCTGATGACCCCTCCCATGTCCCAGGACGTGGCCAACAGTCACAGTTCGCTCTGGCCTCATGTGGTGTGGTCTGCCGTGGTCCTGGGGGAACCCAGTCAGTGGTGCTGTGTAGGTAGTGCTGGGTGTGGGCGAGTTGGCCAGGGATGGCGCTGTGGGGACCCAGCATGTGGGAAATGAGTCCAGTGCCTGGGAGGCAGGTGGATGGGCGAGGCAGGCACAGCTCTGAGGGTCCTCGGGGCTGGGAGGGCAGGAAGGTAGCAACAGTGGCAAGGATGAGTAGGGAGGCTGGGGTGGGCAGCTGTTGGGCAGGGTCCTGGTGGTCTCAGAGGCACCCTGCCCCTTGCAGCCTTCCGTGTACGAGTTGGTCCGGGCTCCTGGCTTTGCCCGCCTGCCCCTGGTGGTGGAGGACTTCGTCAAGGATGCGGGTGCCAGCTTCAGCGGTGAGCGTGGGTGGGCGCCCAGGGCCAACACTGGCGCCCTCAGCTAGGCCTGGTGGCCGGTGGCACCATGCTGGGCACTGAGCAGGCTTGGATGCAGGTCAGAGCGGGCAGGAGCGGCCGTCTGTTGGCGGGTCTGTGGGGCAGCCCTGCCTGACCCTCTGCCTGCGGCCCTGCAGCCAGTGAGCCGGACGCGGTACACGTGGTGCTGGACCGCCACCTCGTCACTGGGCAGAATGCCAGCTCCACTGTGCTGGCTGTACAGAACCTGTTGTTCCTCTGTGGCAGCCGGTGAGGCCCGTGGGCAGGGGTGGGGGGCGGGGGGCGGGTGACGAGCGGGCGGCCCCCTGGCTGCGGGTGCAGGGCCTGGGTCTGGTGCCCCAGCTGTGACAAGTGTCTGTCTTGCAGGAAATGAGGTTGACTACACCAAGTAGCCACCACCGATGGCGTGGGCATCCACAGAAGATGCAGTTCTGTCATGCTGTCTGCTCTTTGGTTTCTGGGGACCCCACCTCAGAGCTGAGAGTATTTGGGGCCTCTGCAACTCCCTGAGCTGACTCAGACACCCCGCCCCTGGGCCCAAGAGGCTGAGCCACCCTGCCCCTGTGCGTTCTGTCATGTGGAGGCGGGACATGGACTCGGGGTGCTGCCAGTAGGGTTTGGACAATTCTGATCAGGTGCCTCAGGCACTTGAGCTGGAGGCCCGAGTGTGCTCAGTATAGCTAGGGGTGTTGGCGGGGGCCTGTCGGGGCTGCCCTGCTCTGGGCTTTGGGACAGGGAGGCTGGTGCTGGCACCGTGTAACTCTCCTCAGCCCTTCCATGCCCACTTGGGGACAGCACTGTGCAGGCCCCTTAGGTTGGATCTGGGCCATCTCATGATCTGGGTGACCAGACCAACCAACCACCGTGACGTTGGGATGGGGGTGGCCTGACTTGTCTTCCTGGGGGAGGAGCAAGGTGGGGCCACACCCCAGCTCCAAACTGCCTGGTGGGGAGCTGCTTGCTCAAGAAATGTTTTCTCTCAAGCTCAGAGTGTGGTTTCTGGATGTAACACCCCGTCTCCACGCAGTGGTATCAGGAGTCCCTCTGGTGGGCATGGTGGGGTCATCGTGCCTTGTGGTGGTGGAGAAGCCCACTGTGGGACAGTCACTTGCCCGCAGTCCTCTTTGGTCTGATGGGAAGGGGCTGTAGGGGTGGTACCCTCTCCATTTGAGCAGCATAAACCCGTGGCTGAGGGGCTGCCTGTGCTGGGCCACACTGTCCTCATGCCCAGGAGGCTGTTGGTGGCTCACTCTTGGGGGCAGTGTACCCATGGGCAGCCGCCTTGGCACCTGGTCTAGGGACCCTTGTGGGCTGCTCCTGTACCAGCCTCTCAGGGTGGTCTTAACCCCATGTGGGCCCTGTGTTTGCCCCTTCCCTTGGCTGTCTCTGCCCTTCTCACCTCTATCAGAGTTGGGCATTAGTGGGTCCTTGCCTCTGTGGACCTGTCCTATGTATGGACGTCAGGCAGCCACCGGTCTCCTGTGGGCACTGCCTGTGTCCTGCTCATAGCACATGGTTTGGTCACCCCTCAAGGTGCCAGTCTGAGGTCACCTTGCATGGTGACAGGGCATCTGGGCAGAAGCGTTTTGGGGTCATGTTTTCAGGGAGTCTGTGAAGGCTAGTTACCTGATCCAGGGAGATGCTGCCGCTTTGGGGACTTGCACCCCACAGTCCTGCCTGGAGTAGCCACTTACCCCTCAGGCAGCTGCCAGTGAGACGTGGGGCTCTGCAGGGTAGGTGGCGGCTTAGTGCCGTGGGGATGCATGGCAGCAGTGGTGGGGGACTGCCCACCAGGCTGAGGAGGAGATGGTCAAGGGAACAGATACCCTGGAGAGAGCTGGCATCTGGGAAGGTGGCCAGCTAGGGCAGATGGCCCCAGGGCTAGAAATGGGCTCCATTCCTAAGAGAAACCAAAACGTCCGTGTAACACTTGTTCACAGCAGCCCCAAAGCCAGAATGCCGAGTGTCCACTGCCAAACACAGCTGCCCATGGTGCAGAGTGTTGGTCGTGAGTGAGGTTGACGCGGGGTGCAGGATGCACCTCAGCCGTCACCCTGAGTGGAGACAGCACCATGGCAAGCAGCTTCATGGGCAGGAAACGTGTGCTATCAAGCTGGGAATGGCAGGGGGGTTTGAGGCTTGTCTTTGAGATGGGCAGAATGTTCCAGTAACATGGTGAGTGCCATGGAGGCCGTGAATTTGCTGGGCTGTAAATGACATCCACGTGCACTTGGGTGGTAGGTGTGGCTTACATATATACATGGTGTGCATTTGGGTGCTGTGGCCCTGATGTGTGGTGTGTGGGGTGGTGAGATGTGACCTGTGGGTTTTGCGGCTCAGTCCATGGGTGGGGTGGGCAAACCTTGAGCTTAAGTGATAGTGCCTCAGAAACCCACGGAGGGGTTGCTATGAGTCGAAATCGACTCAGTGGCATATCATAACAAAGACACTGCCTCTCCTGCACCCATGGGACTGTGGTCCCTGAGCCCATTGCCACTTCAGTGCTTTACTCAGAGCTCCTCAGGGCTGGAGGCCAGAAAGCTGGTGTCCAGGGTGCCTGGTCCAGCCCCACTGTGAGGGTGGTGATTGCCACCCAATGTTCAGAGCCAGACAGTCCCTGCAAGTCTGGGATGGGCTTGAGGCCACTTCCAGGTGCCTTTGACGCAGTGACTCAGGCGTGGGGGATGACCAGGGTGTAGTCAGTTCCCCAGGCGCTTTATCTTCCTAGGAACCCCCACCCCTGCCAGCCAGTGTGCCCCAAAGCCACCCAACTGGCACAGTTGGCTTGTGAGGGTGGTGGTGGTAGTGTGTGTATGTGGGGCTCCATGCAGCAGAACCTCCTCCCAAGCCTGGTAAAGCCTGGTATTGCCCTGACCTTCAGAGGTAGGTAACTAGGTCCCAAGTCCCACCCTGTACGTCCCACACACATGAGGAGGGGGCCCTGCCTGGTGTAGGGGGCTAGCTTGGAGGCTGGATACACCCGTGTTCGTTTCTGAGCTCAGGCCTGTGGTCCTCACCCAGCACTCCCAGCACAGTGTAGCACGTGAGCAGGATCGTTGGTTGGCAAGGTGTGGCCAGATCTGCTGGTCCACGTTCAAGGCACCAGGGCCTCGCGGTACCAAGCTGGCGGCCTGCCCGGCTGCTGCAGCAGTCCAGGAATGGACCTCGGAACACCTGGTGCCCACGCTCCAGGCCCACTGCTGCCCAGGCTGCCTGCTGGCCCCAGTGGGGGCCTAAAGGCTGCGCTCACCCTCAGCAACCTGCTCTGGGGAGCAGGACACAGACTTCACAAGTGCCTGTGTCTGTCCTGCCCAACACATTGTCTCAGGCGACCCCATGGGGGCCCCAGCATCAAAGGCCTCTCCACACTTCTGCCAGCAGATTGCAAGCCTGGGGAAGCTGGGACACACAACATTGTGGGGGAGGCCCCCCCACTGGGGTGGGTGGGGTGCTGTGTGGGGCTCCTAGCCCACCCCAGGGTACGGTGGAACTGCTGCAGGGGCAGTGGGGACAGGATTGAAACAGAATGGGAAAGTGGCAGCTTTAATGCATCAAGCAAAATCTCACATAAAAATCAGAAATCTATGATCCGTCCCTGCTCAGCTGGTAAAAAATGCACGATTCCTTGCAAGGCGTGGGCGCCCGGGCCCACAGGTCTGCACTCCAGCCTGGCACTACTTCCCGTTCTCAGCACTGAACATGCGCTCCTGGAAGAAAACCTGGCATGAGGCTGGGCAGCCAGCAGCCTGCAGGAGGGGCAGCGGGGTGTCTGGGGAGGGACAGCCCGGGGGCCCTGCAGGTGTCAGAGTCCACACGCACCCTGAGCACGCGCTCCAGCTTCCTGGCATCTGCGGCAAACTTGCGGATCCCATCTGAGAGCTTCTCCACGGCCATCTGGTCCTCATTGTGCAGCCAGCGAAAGGCCTTCTCGTCCAGGTGCACCTTATCCAGGTTGCTGGCCTGGGCTGGGGGTGCGTACACCTCACCTTCCCTGACCAACGTCCTCTGCACTCTGTGCCCACCCCAGCTCCAGGCAGCTGCGCCACCCTCGCTGCCTCCTGGGCCTCCTCTCTGTACCCCGTGGAGAGGAAGTACTCACCGGCCTTGATGGAGAGTGCAGGGCTCAGCTTGCTGGTGTCCTTGAGTAGTTCCCCCAGCAGCTTGGGTGAGATGGTGAGGAAGTCACAGCCGGCCAGCGCCTTGACCTCGTCTGTGTTGCGGAAGGAGGCGCCCATCACGATGGTCTTGTAGCCAAACTTCTTGTAGTAGTTGTAGATCTTGGTGACACTCTTCACCCCTGGAGCACATCATAGCTGTCAGCCCGGAGCCAAGGCAGATCCCACAGCCCCATTCGGCCCTGGAATGGGACCCCTGCCCAGAAGGGCAGACGCACCAGGGTCCTCCAGAGGCTCGTAGGACTTCTTATCGGTGTTTGCCACGTGCCAGTCCAAGATGCGGCCCACGAAGGGGGAAATGAGTGTCACACCGGCCTCGGCACAGGCCACAGCCTGGGCGAAGGAGAAGAGCAGTGTCAGGTTGCAGTGGATGCCGTGCTGTTCCTCGAGCTCCCTGTGGGGACAGGGATGGGGATGGGCATCAGGGGCAGCAGCTCCTGTCCACATACATGTCCAGGCCTTAGCCCAGTGGCAGAGCAGGGTGAAGACCCCACCTGGAAATGCTCTCTGGGCAGTGGGCTGGGGGAGACCAGGATTTCCTTCATCAGTCTCCCGGCCAGTCACCTGTGGCAGCCATCCTTTCCCTGCCTGCCTCCCACTCCCCATCCTGTCTGCACCCTGCTTGCCATCCCCCTGCCCACATCCCATTCATCTATCCTGTGTATACCTTGCCTCCTGGCCTCCCTCCCTGCCTGTACCCCTCCTTTGCTCTGCCCAGGGAAAGGCAGGAACCCTGAAACCATACTGGGCCCCTGCCCCATGGAAACCCCGTACGTTCTACCTTCAATGTCCCGAGGTGGACCTGAGTCGACAATGACACACCTGACACGTGGCTGGGGGTGAGACGGACTGGACTCTGCCGTGTGAGCCGCTGCTCAGGCCCCACCTGGCTAGCACCTCTGTCTGAGCCTGTGGGACGCTGATGTTCCCCAGAGCCTAACACATGTGGCCAGCAGCATGCACATGGGGCCAGAGTGGAATCGGCCAGTGTCCGCTGACAGGTCCACAGAGTGTGGCCTAGCCACACGGGGTGGGAGTCCACTCACACACAATGTGTGTAGCAGGTAAACCATGGGAGCAGAGCACAGACTGCTGGCTGCACGGGGGAAGGGCAGACACAGACACAGCGCTCACTGACGGCCACTGGCTACTCAGGGTGGGAACCCCACTTGTGAGCATGACGTGGTTTTTCACATTTCTCAGGCTTTTCTAAGCTGAGCACGTACTTTGTTGCCAGCAGCCACCCGTGGAGACACTCACTTTCCAGCCTGGATCCCCTCCCACGTTGATGCCAGCTTTATAAGGACCCTCTCCTTGCTGATGCCAGCTTCTTTATAGAGTTGCACGAGGCGACAGGCTCGGGCCACCATTGCATCCTTGTCAAAGGAGAGCCTTGGAGAGACAGGCACTGGGTGACTTGGAGCAGCTTTACCACAGGACACCGCGCGGGAACCCACATGGCAACCCCTAGGAGAAGCTTCTGCGCACACCGCGGTCCACGCACTCAGAACGACACGTGCAGGCAGTCTAAAACCCACTGACCCACACCCCTTGAGGTTCCACCGCGGAGCTGCTCTGGCCCATGTGGGAGCACCCAGGCCGTGGGCATGCAGCTGTCTGTGTGGACTACCCTGCTGCCCAGCTGAGGCAGGAGAAGCCCCGTACCTTGCATCTACTTCTGTGGACACACGCCCGGGAATCTTCTTCAGTATTTCTGCTCCGAACAACACAAACAGTTTGTCGACAGCATTTTGAATCTGCTCCTCTTGGGCCCTAAAGTTCAGGGAAAACACAAGGTTGAGTCTGTCGGGCCCCTCAGGCCCAGGATTCCAGGCCCAGCCCCTGCATGGCTCTCCCATGCGCCTTTCCCTGGTCTTCAGCACCTGTAGAAGTGTTGCCTGTGGCAGAGGTGACGTGCCTGCCGCTGCTCCGAAGGGGCTGCTATTGGTAGGTTCAGAACGTGGGCGGCAGAGGGAGGAGCTGCTGGCAGGGTAGGCTGCAGGGGAGAGCGGGCCCAGGACACGTCCTGGGAGGGCTGAGCGGGTGCTGGGACGAAGGCCCACTAGGCACGCGCATCCACGCCCTCATGCTGGGAGACTTACAAGACATAATCCAGCAAAGTCAAAGCTGCAGCAAAAAGGCAAGCCCGTGGTGGCCTGTGAGCAGGGCATGCTGGGCGGCAGACAGGAAACTTCACCAAAACCTATCCAACTGAGCACTTAATGTATGCAAATTTTACTCCAGTAAAGCCGTGGTGGTGCAGCAGTTAAGTGCTCAGCTGCCAACCAAAGGGCAGTGGTTCAAACCCACCAGCGGCTTCCATGGGAAGCAATCTACTTCTGTAACTTCTGTAACGATTCTGACCTTGGAAACACTGTGAGGCAGATCTACTCTGTCTGACAGGGTTGCTGCGAGTCGCCACTAACTCGACAGCGGTGGGTTTGGTTGAGTTTTTAAAACTTTTCACAGTGAGCAGATGAATGGCTGGGGCGTAGGGGTTGAGGATCTGTGAATGTCCTGCATGTTGACTGGGAGGTTTACAGGGGTGTGGACAAGTGCAGTTCATGTGCATAGATTCGTAATAAAAGTCATCTCCAGGGAGTCGGGGCCCTGGACCAGAACCACAGGCCTCGGCCACTCACCCGCCTAGCTCCTTCCCATAGGCCATGGCGTCCTCCACCAGGTCCTGGTAGGCGGGCATCTGGGCAGCGGCCAGGATCAGGGAGGGGTTTGTGGTGGCATCCTGGGGCTTGTACTCGTCGATGGCTGGAGGAGTCAATAAGACGATAATACTAGTAAATGGGGGAGAGGGGCCTATTAGGCTGCAGACCCAGGTTAAATTCCTAGCCAGTGGTCCTCATGCACAGCCACCAGCCATCTGGCAATGGGGGCCTGTGTGTGGCTCAGGTTCCAGATGAGAATGGAAGAGAAGGAAAGGCCTGGTAATCTCCTTCTGAAAATCAGCCAGCGAGAACCTTATGGGTCACAAGTGTCCGGCCCACAACCAATGGGCAGAGAGCAAGACCAGACAGTGATTCTGCAGCTATGTGTGCGGTCACCAGGAGTCGAGGCAAACCTGATGACACACACTGACGACGGGAAGTCCGTCCAAAGTCAATCTCAGCTGTTGTAGACGCTCTCACCTGAGCCAGCAACCTCCTCCCCATGGCACGACTCACACGTCTCATGCACACTTCCTTTCCCACCACTCAAGTTTGACAGAAGCATTCCAAGTTGGAAATTAGGACCTTGGTGACAGAAAGACGCTGCGAGACAGAATTTTGCAAGCCCAACGATATAGTCATTGCAGATACCTTTTATTTATTAAAAAATTAGGTGATATTTATTTTTCACAATCATTTCAACAAATAGAATACCTTTTTTCAATAACATAAACAGTGATTGTGTGGACCTCACTAGACGAGATACACAGGAATCAAAAAGACTACATCTGTGGAAAGAGGCAATCAAGCTTCACATGAATAGTCAAAACAAGGCCCAGAGCAGACTGTGGGACAGACCACCATTTGCTCATATGCAAGTTCAAGTTGAAGCTGAAGAAAATTAAAAGTCCATGAGAACCAAAATACGACCTTGATTACATCCCACCTGAATTTAGAGACCATCTGAAGAATAGATTTGATGCACTGTACATCAGTGGCCAAAGACTAGACAAGTTGTGGGATGGCATCAAGGGTATCATTCATGAAGAAAGCAGAAAGTCATTAAAAGACAGGAAAGGAAGAAAAGACCAAAATGGATGTCAGAAGAGACTCTGAAACTTGCTCTTGAAGGGAGAGTAGATAAAGCAAAGGGAAGAAATGACAAGATAAGAAAGCTGAACAGAAGATTTCAAAGGGTGGCTTGAGATGATAAAGTAAAGTCTTGTAATGAAATGCGCAAAGACCTGGAGTTAGAAAACCAAAAAGGAAGAACATGCTCAGCATTTCTCAAGCTGAAAGAACTGAAGAAAATATTTAAGCCCAAGTTGCAATATTGAAGAATTCTATGGGCAAAATATTGAATGATGCAAGAAGCATCAAAAGAAGATGGAAGGAATACACAGAGTCACTGTACCAAAAAGAACTGGTCAATGTTCAGCCATTTCAGGAGGGGGCATATTATCAAGAACCAATGGTATTGAAGGAAGAAGTCAAAGCTACATTGAAGGAATTGGTGAAAAACAAGGCTCCAGGAATTGACCAAATACCCATTGAGATGTTTCAACAAATGGATGCCGTGCTGGAGGCACTCACTCAGCTAAGCCAAAAAATTTGGAAGACAGCTACCTGGCCAACTGACTAGAAAAGATCCATATTTGTGCTCATTCCAAAGAAAGGGGATCCCACAGAATGTGAAAATTATCAAACGATATCATCAATATCACACACAAGTAAAATCCTGCTGAAAATAATTTAAAAATGGTTGTAGCAGTATATTGACAGAGAACTTCCAGAAATGCAAGCTGGATTCAGAAGAGGATGTGGAATGAGGGATATCATTGCTGATGTCAGATGGAT